GCCCCTTGCAACTCATATCATGGATGTTAGAAGGAAAAGTAATATGGAGGTTGGGATTTTATACATGTTTGTAGTCGAAAGATGAACAAAATGTGTTTTCGTGGCCATTTTCCTACTGTTGGTGAAATTGAAAAATGAAAAATTGGAGGTCTGAGGGCTTGTGCTCACTTTGTCATTTTTCGTTCTCCTTCCTTGTCCTGTTCATTTCTGTTTCAATGGCAAAATAGGAACAGAGTAAAACCAGAGGCAGGGGAGAATAATAAAGGAAAAGAGAGACTAGAAGTAAGAAATAAGGAGAAATTGAGAAGTTAAAATGAAATATTTTGAAAGTTTGATTTTATAGAGATATTTCCAAATGAAACATTTCTTGTGGAAACCTCTCCAAGGAGAACAACTTTGATGTTTTGAGTAGTTTTTCCTTCTGATTTTCAGTCAGCTCTATCCAATGCAGCACCCAAACGAGCATTGGCCGCACATCCCAGGCAGGGTTTGCCCAGCTTGTTACCTGACCCATAGTGCCTTTAACACAGAGACAATAAAATTGCCGCTGGAAGCGAGCGCGGCTTCACTGAGTGCTCATTACTGCGGTGCATGGAAACTGGCTTTTGCAAGTCAGCACCCAGCGATTCCAAGCCTGTGCTCACAGCAATCCCTTGCAGATGGACTCCAGAGAGTCATCTTCCCTGGAGGTGTCCTCCAGCCCCAGCTGCTCATACTCACGTCCCCACTGAGCCCAACGATGCTGCTCAGGATGCTGGTCCCCTATTTCAGAGCCTCCCCTTGGTTTTCTTTGCAAGCCCAGCCCCACAGTCCCACAGAGCCATCCCCGGGGTTATTTCCCCAGCCCACAGCCCACCCTCTGGACCAGGCGTGGGCTGCTGGTGCCCAGGGGCTGTGGGCAGCAGGGCTTGGGCCTGGCTTCAAAACTGTTTTTGCAAGGTTTGGGCTGCGCGGGGAGCGGGACGCTGGTGTCGCGGTGGTTGCTGCCATCTAATGGCTTTGGCAATTAATATGCAGGAGGGGGAGAGCGCGGCCAGGCTGCGCACCTCTGCCAGCATGGTAGCTATCAGCTAGTGAGCAATCCCCTGGGGCTGCTGGGGGGCACACTGAGCCTGGAAAGCAGCACAACATCCCGTAAAGTGACACTGGGCACAGAAGGGAAGGCAGAGGTCAGGCATTCCTCTTTCAAAGCCTGGGACAAGATCCTCAGAAGCGATGCTTGCTGGTCCCAGCAGCTCTGCCCTTCCTGGGGGAAATCGAAAGCACTGTCACACCCTGCTGCCTGCAAATTCGTGGAAGCAGCAGGGTTTGCCTGCTGAAGGTCAGCATCCCAAACTCACCTCGGAAGACACAATGGGAGTCGACTGCCCCTTTTGCAGCGGGGAGCTGGGCACTGCAGTGAGTCCTGGGCAGGGCTGTGCTCCCAACACTGGCTGTGCCTGGTGCTGCATGTCCCTGGATGGCAGACCCCCAGCCTCTCAGGTGGTGGAACCTTAATGCACTCATGCATTTCCACTCTGCCAAGGGCAGCCCTGGGCTGGCTGCTGTGCCCTCACATGGGCCCCGCACACCCCCCAGGTGGAAGAGCAGCCGCCTGGCCTGTGTCTCACAGCCGGGCAGACCAGTCTGCAACTTGCAGGAAACCAGCTCAGAATCACCCCTCTTGGCCACGTAGCCCTGATGCAATGGCTTTTCAAGCACCTTTGCAAAGAAAAGCACAGTGCCACCTTTTTCCAGTTTATTGGATGGGAATAGCACAGCCTCTGGGCTTAGCAACAGCTCCCTGACACACAGGGGACATGTCAGAGACCTTCCCCTGGTGTCCCCAGAACAGCCTGAGAGCCACGGGCTACCTGGGGCCACAGGAAAAACCTGTCCAGCACATACAGAGCCACAGTGCAAAGGCTGAGATGGCCGGTTGCACACAGCCATGACCAGCCAGTGCTTTCCCTGCGTCCCTCCGGCCGGTGAGCAGCCACCTCACGTGGGCCAGCAGTGAGGATCCCCTTCAGGTCGCTCCAGGTCCAGAGTGGTGGGCAAGGCAGGAGGGCTCCCAGTGAGATCCTGCCTGAGCTCACCACCCCAATGTGGGCTGCAGGCATTTATCTGCACCACCCTGCCTGGACATACTTGGGGAGGTCTTGGTGTCCCTCGGAGCCTGGCAGCTGTCTACAAGCTACCTGCCATCAATTCTCCTGCATTATTGATAGGGTTAAGGCCGTGTAATGTTCTGGCCAGTGCTGGGCAGAGATACTTCCAACCTGGGAGAAGAGCAGGGATAAGAGGCCAAGCAGAGAAACTGTGACTGGACGGGGCAGCAGGAAGGGGGGAGCTGGGGGACCTCTCTGCAGCAGCTCTTCCATCAGCCAAGAGAGATCAGGTGGCCAAGAGACACTTTTCATCACCTGGGGACCCTCCTCTGCTGTGAAGACCAGGTGGATCTGGCTGCCAGCTGTGAGTCTGTCCTTGTGAGGCTGATTCCTGGGGTGGGTGCTCATCTTGTCTGGGTGCACGGCAGGGCCAGGCTTCACGGCGGTGGGAGAGCTGAGAAGTGATGCTGGGGGTGAGAGGGGGCACAGTGGCTCCAGGGGAAGCACAGGTTAGAGGGGCGGTGGGAAGGGCTCCTCTTCTGCAGGTGACGTGGAGAGCAGCCCCTGCTCCATCCCAGGAGAGTGAGGGGTCTGGGACTGGGCTGTCTGGGGATGTGGGACAAGCTGGGAATGTCAGAAGCTCATGACACATCTCCTTATGTCCCCTTGCACCCTTCGCTGGGCGCAGGCGTCCTTGTGGAGGATGGAGTTGCTGTGGGGCGGAAAGCCTGGCACTCCACCACTCATCCCTGCAATCTTGTAGTAGTGCAGGCAGGAGAGACCTGACAGGAGTCAGAGGGAGCTGGGAAGAGTATCCCAAGGGTACGAAGTGGTTTCACAAGCTGTTAGCTCAGAACTCGCAGAGGACACAAGGTCCAGGTTACCTCTCTGACCTTGGAAGAAGCTGTTCTAGAGGCAGAAACCTGATAGTCCTGTGCCTAAAAACTGCTGTGATGTGTGATTGCTGTAGCTGTCCCCCCTGCAACCATTGCCAAAGCAGTGGTGCTGCTGGAAGGTGCTGTAGCTGTGCCTGCGCCTGGGCGAGGGTGCCCGAGCAAGGCAGTGACTGCTGCAGGTAGGACGGCCAAGGAGGTGATGCAATGATCAAAAGATCTCAGAAAGGCTTTGAGAGGCAGCACCGTGGGGCTGTACGCTTGCAACTGCTGTTCCTTGCTGCTCTCCTACACCTTATCATACAGCAAAGCCAGTGCCTCTGAGACACCTGCACATGAAGTTTTACAGTGGGGCTTTCCCTGACACCTCCAAACCTTCCTGCAAATTGAACTGGAAAAAAACCAAGATGTTTGCACAGGGGTGAACTAGAAGGCTCCTTTCAGCAACACAGTGCTAGGCAGGCTCTGCAGCGATCTTCAAACCCTGGAGCTCAACTGGCTGGCTCTGGTCCTTCCTTCTTCCTTCCCATGCCTTATCTGTGGTCTGCATTTCCCTCGCTCTGTCTCCGCACAGTCTGGAGGCTCCCCTGGGCCGTGACGCCGCGCCGCTGCCTTTGAAGCGGTGGTCATGTTCCAAGAGCCGTGGGCAGGAGCGGGGAGGATGCTCGGGGTTCACAGCCCAATGCCAGGGAGGGGACCTCAAAGCAGCAGCCTGGGCTGCTCCCTGCAGAGCCCCCTGGCACAGGGGTGCCTGCTGGATGCACCGAAGGATGGTCCCAGCCTCTTGACCCGCCCGGGCACGGCGGACACACATGGTCTGTTTTCCAAGAGTGCTTACTTCCTCCGCCTCTGGCTGAAAACAATGCAAGAGGAGCAGGCCTCAGCATTTCTGAAAATTAAGCGCTGAGTTCAGCTTAGTTCAGCCCCAGAGTCTGCTTAACCCTTTAGTTGCAGGATGGAGCAGATTTTCCTGGGCAGGCAGCAACTTTGGACTGCTGTGTGCTGCACAGGACAGAAAAAAGTAAGAAAGGTCTTGGAGGTGGAAGACAAGTCTTGAGTGAGGGCCATCAGCGAAGAGAAATATCTTAAAGCCTGGCCTGCCTGGCTGCATTTCAGTGACTTGCCACACTGGTTTTGCTGCAAAACCATTGCACTTCCCCCGTGTTCTGCCCCCATGCATGAATCCTCTCCTTCCCGAGCTGCCCCCAGCTGCTGGTGCACCAGGAAAGATGCTGTCCCAACACCACCCAGTCTTGGGCGTGCAAAGGTATGAGTGGAGGTACCTGGGGGCAGGTCCCACTCCCCCATGCTCCTGTCCTGTCCTGTCCCGTCCCCCGTCCCCCCCCCCCAGCAGGCAGGCACTGGCCTGCAGCCTGAAGGGCCCAGGATTGCAGAGGGGGGCATGGCGCGGGCAGATGCTTATCACCACCCTGTGCCCATTTGCAGAAGGTGAAAGCAAAAGCAGAGAGTGCAAGAATGAGGAAATGTCCCCACTAGCCCTGCTTGCCCCTGCCAGTGCCCCTGCAGCTCTCCCAGCTGCAGTCAGTGCTTGGGCTGGGTGGGCTTTCAGGGGAGAAGGGAAGGAAAGCACTGCTCCACCTAATGCCAAAACAGGTCCCCCCACCCATATCAGAGAATCAAAACCATGAAACGGGAGTTTGTTTGACCTGAAACAAAACGTTTCATCTTGTTTGTTTGCTTTTTTCCCCAGCTGAAGTCAGGTTTAGGCTGACTTCCTTTTTCTTTCAGGTTCATTTTTAAATTACAAAGTGAAATGCAATGAGGCTTCGTTTTGAACCTGCCAAGGAATGGTGAACTTCTGAGCACTCCCAGAAGGAAACAGGAATATTAGGAAAGCTTGATATTAACTCCTTCATTGTTTTCAGAAGAAAAACAAAACAAAACAAAACAAACTGTTTTTTTTTTTTTCAGTGCTAGCCCTGTTTGCAGAGTTTAGCCAGGGTGTACAAATACTGCTGGGTCCACAGATTTCTTGTTCTGTGTGTCTGTATTTGCATTTTGTCAGAGAAGAAGGGGCGTTCAGAGCTGAGTGCCTCTGCCACCTCCCCAGGATGCCCAAACCGTGATGCAGGTAGAGGCTCTCCCTGGGGCTTTGCTATAGCAGAGGCAGCCGGTGCACAGCGAGGAACGGATGGTCCTGAACCCCAAGGACACAAGGCTGGGTGCAGGGGGCAGGTGAGTCCGGGAGAGGCTGCTTAAGCAAAGCAGCAGCTTGCAACGGGAGGGACCCACGGGCGGTGCGGTGACGCTGGGGCTGAGCAGAGCCCTGAGCTGCTCCTTGCCACCGTGCCCGTGGGCAGCTTTGCCGGCCCTTGTTTACTGAAGAGACAGGCGAAGGTGGTGCCTGGGCGTTTGTGCTTCCCCTCGGGAGCCGGCGGTCTGCCGGCGTGCTGGGCTGTTTATAGCATAACTCTGGGTAACTCATTGACCTCCGTGCTGGCGGCTCTGCTGGGAAGCGGAGGTTCCCAAGATGATAAGCCACTCTTGGAAGAAATTCCTTTCCTCATGCGAGGGAGTGGCGGTGCTGGGCACGCTCGCCCGCCTCGCAAACACGTACACAGCCCCGTGCGCACACACGGGTGTGCGCGGCAGCAGCGTTCCCTTGGGGGACTCGGCTTGGAGCTTCGTGGCCAGGAGTTCTCCGGGAGGAAAGCGGTACTGGGGAGCAGAGCAAGGGGCCCTGCGCAGGCACGTGTGGAGGAGCAGGTCAGTACAGCCCCTTGCGCCGCTCTGCCCTTGCAGCCGCCGTGCTGGGTCTCTCGCTGGGTGCCGGTCGCACGCCGGTGCCCTTCGTCCCCAGCTGAGCAAACACAGCCGGGACGCGGCGGCTGCAGGTGGCTGGAGCCGTCCAGTGCAGGGACACGGCTGCGTAAATCCAGGTTGGGGCAGAGAGTTTGCATTTTTGGTCCCAGCTGAATTGGAGGCTCAGACATGGTGGTGATGAGCACACTGGGGAAGGATAGATTTGGTTTGGGTTCTCTGTACCCAGGGACTGGTAGGAGAAGGACAGGAGAAATCACAGCAGACACGCTGGATTTCGGAAAGCGAATTTGGTCCCAGGGAAGGGTGCTGCTGCGTGACAGTCCTGGAGACCAACAGTGTCTGCAGCAGCTATGTCCCCCCAGACAAAGTGTGCCCGGACTGTCACCCTGCCTCCTGTTTTGTGCCCTGGGGAGGGAAGCGTTCCCAGGTGGTGCACTGCCTCCAGGGGCTACCCCGCCTGGCTACACCAATTTTACAAAGGGAGCAGAGACCCCCGGGAAACTGCTTCTGTACTTCCTAGGACGGGGCTTTTCCAGGGAGGCCAGGCTGAGGGCTTCAGCTGCAGCAGTGGGGGCTCTCCAGGGGAGATTCAGGTATCGTAAGCAGCAGGGTAGGGAGTGGAACAGGAGGTTTTTGGGTTGCTGGCCAAAAGGAAAATTCCATTTCAGGTCAAACAGGAGGTTGATACTTTTGCTCGCAGAGGGGTGGGTTAAGGCACTAAGTTTTCTAGGTAAACTTAAAAGCAAAAAGACATTTCAGAACTACAATGGAAGACATTTTTATTTAGAAAATGAAACATAACATTCTGTTGATTTAAAAAAAAAATTCCCTGCGTAGAAGAATTTTACACTAATTGGTGAGCAAGTATTGCTAAAACAAACAGCATTCTGAGTGGAGCAAAAGGCTTTGTCTGAAAACACCTGCCCTGTTCGAGCACTGACCACTTTGACCACATGGGCCCAAAACAGCAACATCTTTTGTGTGAAGATGTGTCTGACTTCATAGAAACGCAAGCTGTGTGCTCTGAGCACAGTCAGGCTGAAACCTGTGCCTGGATCTGAATTCCCCCTCTGTTTCCTGCATCTTCAGAGCATCTCTAGGTCGACTGGGGGAGTTTTCTAAATGTGGAGCTTTCCAGAGCCAGTGTGCAACAGGAACAGACAGTGTTCTTGCCACAGGGAGAGCAGCGCCAGCCTGTCCCAGCAGCTCACCTTCGTGCAGCTCCCTGCAGCCACGCAGCTTCACATGGGAAACATCGGCTTGAGTTTAGCACGCCCGGAGAGAGCCGCAGTGCTTTGCACCCTAATGTCTGGGGCTCAGGAGGGTGGGTGAGCTGCAGCAAGGAAGATGAGGAGGATGGTCCCTTCTTCAGGCAACCCCAACATTTTGACATCTGGTTTCTCCTGATAAAGACTAGAAATCCCCACTCTTTTAGCCTTCTCCTGGGCAGGCAGGCTGGTGCCTGGCCAGGACTGCACAGGAACATCTCTCGGTGCAATCCTCCCTGCAAAGCCTTTTGGTTTGACTTCACTTTTGTTAGAAGTTTCCCAGCCAGCTCCATGAACATGGACTCCATCCTGCTACAGCCTGTCCCACAGCTAGGTACTCCTCATGCTTTTCTTTAGGGGTATTGCAGCAGTGCCAGGCAGCCCCCATCACGGCATGGGAATCTGTCTGGTGAGAAATTACTCACTGGAGTAATTACTCACTACTCTAGAGAAGCTCAAGGCCTTGTCATGCATTGGGATGCAGCCTGGCTGTCTGGGAAAGCAGCAACACTCCTGGAGTATACCACAACAACCAAGTCACTGCTGTGGTGGCACTGGCATTGGCTTTTTGCTGAAGTAAAGGTCCGTCCCTAAAAGACCTCCCTATCTGTGCTTCTTTCCCTAGACTTTGGTTTTTATTTTGCAGGGGCTGTGTTGCTCTTCCCTAGAGATGCTCTGCAGACATCTGCCACCCGTAGCGCAGTGAAACCACACAGCCAGTCCTGAGTCCTGGTCCTGGGGGCTGGGGAAAGTCAGCTCATGTGAGCAAAGAGGGAATAAGACTCCATCCTTGGCAGCCCGAGGGATCCCGCACAGCAGCCAAATCTGTCTCTCCTGGTGTTTGCATCTGGGGTTCAAGACAGTTCTGGTCTCAGGGATGAGAAGAGCCCTGCTAGCCCCGCAGGAGCCCACGGTGTCTGTGCTTGCAGGGCTCATCTGTGGCTTGCCTGCACGTAGCTCTTCTCCACTGAGGTTAGCGGGGAGCGGGCAGTGCTGCCAACTGCCCTCGCTGGGAAATGGGGAGAGCACCGGCTCGGTCGGGTAGGAAGGTGGTCTCAGAACCGCTGCACAGCCAGCCCTGGATGGAGGGTGCCGGACGAGCACCCGCGGGGCATCCCTACAGGTGAGGCAGGTGCTTGCGGCGCTGTCAGGAACAGGATGGCCTTTGGAGGTGGGTGGAGGTCAGCGATGAAGCTCTCCGGAGGGGCCAGCTGGAAGCTCAGGCAGGCTCAGCAGACCATGGGGTTCCCCATGCTGCGGCTGGCAGGAGGAATGAGAGGAATGTGCCACGTGGGCCGGGAGACATGCTCCCAAAGGCAAGGGCAAGAGCGGAGCCCAAGGCAAGGGCACGGTCAGCACAGGGCAGCAGTGCCAGCCAACAGTTGAGAGATCCCAGGATGCTGCATCCAGCTCTGCGACCCGCAGCACAAGAAAGGCATGGACCTGTCAGAGAGGATCCAGAGGAGAGTCATGAAAATGTTTGGAGGGCTGGAACCCCTCTCCTGAGAAGAAAGGCTGAGAAGAGAAGGCTCTGGGGAGACCTTATTGCAGGCTTTCAATACCTAAAGGGGGCTTATAAGAATGATGCAGAGAGGCTTTTTACTAGTGTCTGCAGTGACAACAAGGCGCAATGGTTTTAAACTGAAAGAGTATAAATTTAGATTATGTGTAAGGAAGAAATTTTTCCCTGTGAGAGTGGTGAGGCACTGGCAAAGGGTGCCCAGAGCAGCTGTGGCTGCCCCCTCCCTGGAAGGGTTCAAGGCCAGGTTGGACGGGGCTGGGAGCACCCTGGGCTGGGGGAAGGGGTCCCTGCCCATAGCAGGGGGGTTGGAACAAGGTCTTTAAAGGTCCCTTGTGAGACTTCAACATACCAGATGTCTGCTGGAAATACAATACAGTGGGGATGAAACAGTCTAGGAGATTCCTGGAGTGTGTGGAAGAGAACATCCTGACACAGTGGGTGAGGGAGCCAACAAGGGAAGGTGCCCCACTGAACCTGTTGTTTGTGAACAGAGGAGGACTGGTGGGTGATGTGATGGTTGGTGGCTGTCTTGGGCAGAGCGATCATGAAATTACAGCATTTTTAATTCTCAGAAAAGTAAGGAGGGGAGTCATCAGAATTTCCACCTTGGACAGTAATGGGGGAGAGACCCTGGCATGTTTAGGGGCCTGGATGAGAGAGTGCCTTGAGAGACAGTCTCGAGGGCAGAGAAGTCCAGGAAGGCTGGACATTCTTCAAGAAGAAAATCTTCAAGGTGCAGAAAGCAATCCCCATGTGCCGAAAGATGAACTGGCGGGGAAGAAGACAAGCCTGGCTGAACAAAGAGTTTTCAATAGAACTCAGGAAAAAAAGATTTTATGACTTTCGGAAGAAGGGGCAGGCAACTCAGAAGGACTACAAAGATGTCATGAGGTTATGCAGGGAGAAAATTAGAAGGGCCAAAGCCCCGCTGGAACTTAATCTGGCTACTGTCATAAAATACCAAAAAAAATGTTTCTATAAATATACAAGTGTTTTTTTCCCACGGGCTCAGTACTGGGACCAGTTCTGTTTAGTATCTTTATCAATGATCTGGACGAGGCCATCACTTGCACCCTCATTAAGTTTGCAGATGCCACCAAGTTGTGCAGGAGTGTTGATCCTCTTGAGGGTAGGAAGGCTCCACAGAGGGGTCTGGGCAGGCTGGATCGATGGGCCCGGGCCAATTGTATGAGGCTCAACAAGGCTCAGTGCTGGGTCCTGCACGTGGGGCACAACTACCCCTGCAACTCTGCAGGCTTGGGGAAGAGGGGCTGGAAAGGTGCCTGGCTGAAAAGGACCTGGGGGTGTTGGTCAGCAGCCAGCTGAATGTGAGCCAGCAGTGTGTCCAGGTGGCCAAGAAGGCCAATGGCATCCTGGCTTCTGTCAGAAATAGTGTGGCCAACAGGACTAGGGAGGTGATTGTCCCCCTGTCCTCGGCACTGGTGAGGCCCCACCTCAAATACTGTGTTCAGTTTGGGGCCCCCCACGACAAGACAGACACTGAGGTGCTGGAGCATGTCCAGAGAAGGGCAGTGGAGCTGGTGAAGGGTTTGGAGCCCAAGTCTGATGAAGAGCAGCTGAAGGAACTGGGATTGTTTAGCCCAGAGAAAAGGAGGCTGAGGGGAGACCTTATTGCTCTCTACAACTACCTGAAAGGAGGTTGTAGCGAGGTGGGTGTTGGTCTCTTTTCCCAGGTAACAAGCGATGGGACAAGAGGAAATGGCCTCATGTTGTGCCAGGGGAGGTTTAGATTGAATATTAGGAAAAATTTCTTCACCGAGAGGGTTGTCAAGCGTTGGAACAAGCTGCCCAGGGAAGTGGTTGAGTCACCATCCCTGGAGTTATTTAAAAGAGGTGTAAATGTGGCACTTAGGGACATGGTTTAGTGGTGGATTTGTCCGTGTTAGATTAGTGGTTGGACTCGATGATCTTAAAGGTCTTTTCCAACCTAAATGATGTTCTGATTCTATGATTCTAACCCAAACCATTCTCTGAGTCTGTGCCCATCGCCCCCGCCTCGCCGGCAGACGGTGCCTGGTCAAAAGGCGCATTGTGCATTGTGGCTGGGGCCGAGCCGCGGTGCCGGCCGGGCAGCGAGCAGCGCGCTCAGCCCTGCCAGCGCAGCAGCAGCCCCCCAGCTCGGGGCTGGCCGTGTTGCTGGACACATGGGCTGCTGCTTGGGGACCCCCTGGCACCCGGACCTGTCCCTGGGGTGCACAGGTAAGCTGTCCGTGGGGGATGCCACGGCCTTACTCTGAGCAGGGCTGCAAGACCTGTGGCTGCAGAGCTGACGGGGCTGGTGGGGAGACTCCAGCACTGGGCACTGGGTCTCTGGCAGCTTGCCTGCCTCTCCCAAGATGCCCACTGCTGTCCCCTCCTCTTGCTGGGCACTTGCTGTGTCACTAGATTTGGGTGCGCGGGGAATGAGGCAGGGCATTTTGGCCAGGGAGGGGAGAGGATGACTCAGGGTTTAAGATGCTGTTGTTTTTTCAGGAGCCCCCTTGCCATCCCTGTCCTGCTGCCACTGCTGCCCAGGATCACCCCAGGCATTGCAAGGCTTGCGGAGCCCATGGGGTGCTGCCAGCCCCTGAGGCTTGATTCCTGTACCGATGTGCCCAAATGAGCTAGCAGGGCTGTGCTAACGGGATGGAGGAGGGAGGTGGCTCAGGGCCAACGGCTGTGGCCACGTGTCCCCAGGGAGAGCCGGTGTCAGCGGGTGCCACGGGTGCCTCAGCCCTGGCTGCCAGGAGTGCAGCCCCAAGTGCCAGGACCTGCGCTTGACTCCGGGCTGGGGCTGTTTCCTGCCCACTGTTACAAAATATTTCAGCACCGGGGAGGTAAATGACTCACTGGCATGACTGGGAACGACTCCCCACCAGCAGTTTCAATTGGTCTCTTGAAAAAGCTCCCAGTTCCCTTTCTGAGCCTGGCCCAAGCAAAAATAAACACTGAATCGGCGAGTGCTGCAGGGAACAAACCCATTTCTCCTCTCGCCCGAGCGAGCCCTGGCCCCTGCCTGGCTCTGCAGGGACCCACCAGCATGCTTTGTCATGCCGCTGGCAGAGGTGGCACGAGCGGTGTCCGACCTGCCACCTCCTTCGGCACATCATATGGAGACCCCTTGGGCGGGGAGCATTCTGCCGGGGGTCTGAACGCCTCTCCCCACCACCCGTCTTCCCCAGGTGAAGAGTGTGACTCCTGCTGCCCCCGCTCGCCCGTGCTCCTGCCCCGCTGGGACCGCCTGCAACACACCGCAGCCGAGCGCCGGGGAAAATGGTGGCGGGAGAAGACCATGGCATCAGGTACCTGTCCCCGGGGAAGGGGGACCCAGCCCCTGCCCACCAGGCCCTGCTGAACCCAGCGGAGCTCGCCGGGGTCTGCCAGGATGCAGGGAGGAGAGGAAAGGCGGGAGGAGTAAGGAACCAGCAGGCAAGCCCAGCCCGGGCAGGAACCAGCTCGGGTTCAGCTCTGCCTTTGGCTCATTTCGTTTCCCTGTCTCTGTTTCCCCCATGTGTGGAAGGGGATGGAGTTCCTGGATGAAGTCCTTTGTTAAGTGTGTTTAAATCAGTTGTTGAGAAATGTAGAGCCTTTTCTTTCAAAGAACAGCCCGTTCATTACATGTCCAGCCTTGGGCCATTCTTTTCTACTGCTAACTATAAATAAGGATTATAATTCTGCATGCAAATAACAGTTTATTTGACAGACTAGCAAATCTGGCTCAATAAAAAGAACCGTAGAGTATAGTTATGGTCACAGAAGTGACCTAGAAAAGCTGCTGCATGTTCCAGCTCCAGATCTCTGGGTACATGTTTGTCTTACAAGTCCAATCTGATTACTGACAAAAATTGCTTTTTAATCTTGTTATCCCTCCACAGCCAATACAGCTGTGGAAGAGCAAGCTGGATTTTTATGTGCCTCAGCCTTCATTAACATAATTACCAGCTAAAGTTTCAGTTCCCAAATCCTTTATGGCAATAGTTGACAATGTGTGAAGTAGAGAGAATGCAGCTTGGATTTCAGATACTGACCAGAGCAGTTGGGGAAGAAAATCTCATTTTGACTGTCAAATTGATGAGCAAAGAGTTTTTCAAGTCATTGGCTCTCCTGTGCTGGGGAAGTGCTCTCTCTCTGAGGTCTCCTCCAAAAAAGACTATGTGCCTTGGCGTCATCCTTCTACCAGATCTGCTCAGTGAGGGTCTGTCCCAAGAGCAAAGAGAGAAAGTCACCTCACTTCAAAGCCACTCCACCACTGGAAAGAGGCCAGTTATCAAGGGTATCATGTAGTTAGGACACATCAGTCCCAAGGATCTTGTCTTCAACCTTGATCATGATTTTAGGCTGATACCAGATTCACACAGTCCTCAGCCAGATCTGCAGTGTAACTCATGGGCTTTGCTTTCAGGTGGCATGGTTAGGCAGAATATCCTAGACCTCTGCCACAAAATTTGACATCAGCTCTCCTGTGTCCCCCACTCCTTGCTAGGTAAGGCTGGGGTATCGGAGCCAAGCAACCCCGCTGCCGAGGCAGCAGAAGGCTCACCGGACACCTCCTTGGTGCTGCTGGCTGTTGGGGGGGGCTTTCCACAAGGTAAGATGCTGCCTTTGGCATCCCCCAGATTTCCAGTGGTTGAATGTAGCAAGGCCTGGCATCGCATCTGACCGACCCCCTGTCATCCCCCAAGTTTCTCGTCTTTGCTGCTGAAGGGGGATGACGGGCTGGGTTCGTGCTGTTTGACCATCACAACCAGACAAGGGCTGGAGGCACTGGTGGGGCTGGTTGCAAGGAGGCAATGTGGCAGAGACAGCTCTGTGTGGCATGGAGCTCCTTCTCCCCGTTAACCCTACACATTCCCTTTTCAAGAGATTTCGCTCTTCTTCTCTGTTGAGAGCCGCTCCTCCCGGTGCCTCAATTCCCAGCTCCAGGAAGCAGCCAGGAAGAAGCTGTGGGCCCTGGAGAGTGATGACAGAGACGTCTGTGCCCTGTTCAAGGTAGGAGCCCCAGCCCAGCAGGGCAGAGCATGTACTGGGAGGCTCCTGGCGTGGTTGGATGCGTGATGGGATGTGTGATGGGATGCCAAACTCAGCTGAGAAAGAGAAGTTCCTCCAAGGCTGCTGCAGGGTGTGTTCCTGTACCCAGGGACTCCGTAGGGGACTGGAATGATGGTGGGAAATGAACTAGTAACAGGTGAGAGGCAGATGCAAAGCTGAGCCTCATGTCTGGAGCCTCATATTGGAGGCTCTGAGCTGCCTGAGGGATCACACAGACGGCCCTGGGGTGGGTCTAAATAGCTGGCATTTCACAGGGCTGGGATCACCAAATCTGGGTTCTATGCCAGACTCAGGTCCCAGGCGGAAGTGGCATCTCTGAACATGATCACTGGTTCTCAGAGTATTTGGCTTCATACAGAAAAATCACTACAGGTAGAGAGATGTTTCATGGACTGAACTCTCCTTCCCTGTTGGTTTTTAAGGCCCTGGCCCCCCAGAGCTCCCTGCAAGAGCTTCCCAGGAGACCTGGAACAGTACAGACATACTAGTGCCAGCAACAGGGAAAGGAGAGCTTCTTCCTCGAGGCACTCCCTTTCAGCCTCAGCTGCAGTTTAGAAGCTGTGCCTGTCCTGACTGAACATTAACCCGTGTGTGGTATGGCTCAGGCATCTGGGTTTCAAAAGCACGGTGGTTCTGGTGTGCACCACAGGGGAAAAGATTTGGAGGAGGAGATGGAGCTTCTTTGCCCTCCCACTGCTGCACCATGGAGAGTTGTCATCCCTCCTGGCTGATCTCAGCTGGAACACCCTCCCCTTAGCCCCAGGCAACCACCTCACACAGCTTCAGTCTCAACTATGCTAATAAATGAGTGCCTGGTCTCATTACAGGGTCTAATACTATTCCCACAGTGACAAGGGAGACCCCCTGTCAGAGACCCAGGACCGTGCCTTAATCTTGCTTTGTCTTCCATGTGTAGGAGCTGTCAGCCAGGCTGGTCTGTATGCAAGCACAGGAGGATCGGTTCCTCCTCACCTTCAAAACCATAGAAGAAGTCTGGAAGTTTTCCACCTATCTGACTTTAGGTAATGTTTTCAAGGTGTGGGGAATCTAAATAGACAGTGTGAGAAGCATTTTTGGAGAAGGTATTCTCTGACACCGAGAAAACAGTAACGTAACAGGGTGGACAGATGACAAATGTGAATTAGAAGACCTTGGTCTCCACCTATAGATTTATGAAACCACTGGATCAGTGAAAGAGACCCAGGAGGATGCCTTTTGGGTAAACCCTCTATTACATTTTGGGGATGGAGACAGAATTAGAGGCTGTTGCCTCACAGCATGTTTGCAGATGGCAGACTGGGAGACATCCAAAGAGCACTTCATCCTGCCCAGTGAAGGAGGGTGATAACACTGCTTTCCCTCTTGGTTTCTTAGGGTACGTGGGCAGCTGCCTGGAGCAGCTTCTCTTTGACCAGGAGTACTGGCTGAACTGTGCTCTGATGGAGGACACAGAGATCAAAGTTACTGTGGATGAAGATCGCTTGGCCACCATATATATGGGTCTGCTGCTCCAGGAAGGTGAGAGGGGACTGCATATGTAAGGACGTCCTCAAAAGCATCTCCGCAGGGCTGTGCTGTAGCCCTGTGCTGTGCTATGCCTCTCACTGATGCCCTTGATCTGGGCATGACTTTTTCTATCTGCAGGTAACTTTTTTTCCAGAGCAGTGCCCGGTGTCTGGCAGCCAGAGCAGGAGGGAGAGGAAGGCCTGCAGCATTGTAAGAATGAGCTGATCCATGTGAAGAAGGTTGGAGAGGAGTCCAAGTGGGAAGGGATGTCCTTGCTGACGGGTCAACGAGGCCTGGTGCCTGTGACAGCTCTAGAGCCAATACCTCACCCATTTTACCAGTAAGTAGACTGGCCAAATAATAGGGCTTAAGCCAAGATTCTTTCCTGATCTTGATGTATGAGCTGGCACCAAGCCTGGGGTGAGAAACTGCTCTTGCCTGTGGCAATGGGCAAGAGCTACACAATTTTGCGAGAATATACGTTATGTATACAGACAACTGATGGAAACAATTCAGGTCCTGTTAATGTGACAGAACAAGGACATACTTCAGATATGATTCTTGTATGATACTGATTTAGATCATACATGATTATTTTAGATCGTGTATTTAGATCATACATGATTATTTGTGATTTACAGGTGAATAACTGGGATAAAAAGCATAGCCCAAGACTTAGGTAATGCCAGTCAAAGTGGGGCCTCATGTTGGACACCTGCCTGAGCCCCAAAGTCACCCGCAGACCCCCTTGTACTCACACGGTGAAATCCTTACAGCCTGGCAGATTTATCCTGCTCTTAGCACGTGTCGTGAGGCTGCAGCCGTGAGGTGCAAATTGCCTTCCATGCCCAGTGACACCATTACAAGGTATTACTGGACTGGCCATGCTGGCCATGCTCCATAGCAGCTCTGGCACTCCCAGGGGACAGAACATCTCTCCTGCTTGTGTGACACTATCCCTGGTGCTGTCCTGAGGACAGGACTGCTCAGAGAATGCCAGTGTGGTTCCTCTTTGCCTTGCAGGTGGTTCCTGAAGAATTATGCTGTGAGTTTTGGCATCTCCCAGGAGATTAATGGGACAACCTCTCAGCCAATTGGTGAGTGATACCTGTGTAACACAGCTGCCCTTCCCAGGGAAGGGCACTGCTCTTTCAAACCTGGGTTTGGCCACAAATGCAAAGGGCCCATCTCTTGTTCTGACGAGGACACTCCATTGCAAGGTGGTCTAAGGGGAAACTGCATCTTTGGACTCTCTTGAATGGATACCAGAGCTTGCAAATTGCATGTGCTTAGAAGGACAATCTGGGGAACATAGAATACAGAGGGATGCTGGTGGCATCCTTCTGCCATTGGGGTTTTCTATTCTGCTGCAATTTTATCTCTCATTTAATTCTTTCAGGACTGAAGTTTTAAGTAATTAGGCTCCCCCCAGTGTGCTCATGAAACCTGTGCCCACTATTCACCCATTAGCCCCAGACCATTCCTGCCCAGACATGGGCACTGTTCAGAGCATGCTAGACATGGGAGGTCACTGCAGGTGTGAATATGGCATGTAGTGTGATGGATATTTGCACTGTTAAAGATTCCACTGCTGGCAGAGAGTTGAGATGGTGCAGCTTCTGTGACACTCCATGGTTCCAATCACCTTCCATACTGCAGCTCTGAGGTTTCTGTCTTTGTGTCTGTGGCATTTATGCATGCCTCTTGTATATTTTATTATAACCATCCTCACAAGAAGAATCTGCAGAGATCTAAGTCTGAAAGTACAACAAATCTTAGGGGACAGAGGCAGCCTTCTCAAGCTGAAATAATGATCCAAGCCTTTTCCAGTGAGGAAGCTTTAACAGCGGCCTCACACTGAAATACCTTTGTTTGCCTTGGTTTCCCAGTCAAAGGCAGGTGCACAGCCACAGAGGACCACAGAGGAGCAGCATGGGATGAACTGAGTTTCTCCAAAGGAGACAGCATAGAAGTCATCGGCTTCTTCATTCCAGGACTCCCATGGTTTGTGGGCAAATCTGTCAGCAGTGGGAGTATCGGCTTTGTCCCAACGCAATACATAAGTACCGAGGCTTGTGAACCTCTGTAAGTTTACTGCTACCATCTAGATGAAATTAAACTCAGAATAAAATGAAGGAAAGACTCCAAGTCCCAACTCAAGGCTATGTGAGAGTTCAGAGCAGGTGATTTGCTTTGCAAGGCCTTCATAGAGCATCCATCTGAGGTCTGTCCAGAAGCCTTGGCCAGGATTTGCTGCCAACAGGCTGCAGGAGCCTGCCCAGACAAAGGAATTGTGTTTCACTTGACTCAGGTGATTCTTGGAGAGGAACAGACCTGGCCCTGGGATAAACCTGGATTTATGCTAAGGCAGCCCAGGACATCTGTGTACCAGACAATCTGGATTCACAGTTCTGCCTAGAAATGTTCTTGACTTTGTAGCTTTGTCTGAGGGGCTGTGAGTCTGGCAAGAGTGGGGAGAGCGATCGATCACCACTGAGGAAACCAAGTCTTGATTTGCTTTCTTCTGCCCCTTTGCTTTCTGTGGTATGTTGAGGCAGAACAACCACAGCCACAGTTCCTCACTGAGCAGAACTAAACACCCTCTGAAGGACACAGACAAGAGTTGTTTGGGGAGGGAGGGTGACAACCCCACTCTGATGACCTGGACAGTTGTCTTTGTTGGTGGCTTAAAGACACAGCTCCAGTTCAATACCCATCCAAAAAGGTTTCTCTTCCAAGACCGTGTGTGGGAAGATGAAGTCTTAAACTGTTACTAGGTCTGTTGGGCTTTCCTGGATCAGGGTTACTCAAGTCTTAAGCACTTTTATCTGACACTGCAGAGAACAGAGAGGAGATCAGGTGATGTCCTGGCCTCAGAAAGGGCTTATGGAGACAAAAAAGTCCAAGAGGTTCTTTCCTCTGATACCTGTCAGTTCCTCCATGGAGAACCTGGACCTGAGAGCACTGATGGGGAAAGTGTCCAGACTCTCTGTATTCCTCTGCAGCAGAGCTTTTCTGGTGGGAGGGAGAGGAGGGATGAACCTCAGTTGTAGTGTTAGGAGACGGGGAGATGCTGACTGTTTTCCCCTGATGCCTGCCTCAACCTAGGGGAAAAGGCTTGGTGTTTCTGAGTGAAGAAGAAAAATCTCCCTTTCTCCACATCCCCTGCAACGGTGGCGAGCAGCACTTCACCACCCTCCTCAGTGACCTGGCACACACTGACATCACCTCTGTGTACCGGCTGGGTGAGTTTCCCCTCTCTTACATGCCCAGTCCCATGGCTCTCCATGGAGAGCAGTGCTGGGCAGCGTCTAGAGAGCTCCTTGCTTAGGGCTTTGCAATGCTGTGGTTGAGACAGCCTTCAAGCCCTCTGCTCAGCCTGGTCATGGAGGCTGTAGTTACCCCCAAGAGCTGGGCCCTACCACAATGCAGCTTGCAAGGGTCATCTCTGCTTCCAGGGCAGCTCCTCAGCTGTGGTTCACCCCAGGAGATGCTGCTCTCGACTGATCCTGGCTGTAGGTCCCTGCTGCTGTTTGACTTCTGGGTGTATATTGAGGGGGATGCATAGCTAAAGAGGCAGGTGACATCATCTCCGTGCCCATAGCAGGATCCAAGAAGTTCAGGGTTCCTGGGTGCTCTTCTGAGTTTCTCTATGCTTGCTGTGTGGCATTTGGACCACAGCTAATTTGGACCAGTCTCTATTTCTTGCCTTCTCACTACCTAGAAGCACAATGTGGCCATGCAGGGCTGAGCTTGGGATTCCTGGAGGTTCAGGGGACCTCCCAGACCAGCCAGCTCAGGTGCAATGAGCCCAGGGTAGAACCTGTCAGAGATATACACATCTCTGAAACCTCTGAATAGATACAATGGGGCTCTTAAGAGAGATAGAGCTGACAAAACCCTACCTGTGAAAAATAAGACCTGTTTGTTCCCAGGTAACTATAATGTTACTGGTGCTCACTTCACCACCAGCTAAAAGCTGTTCTCCATGGTCTTACACGGAGCCAAGCTCCAGCAGACAGAGGGGCTGAAACTGCTGCTGCATGTGGTGCCTGTGGCCAGAAGTAAGCCTGCTCTCCCACATACAGGTCTGGCATTTAGCAGAGCAGCAGGAGATCTCTGTGAGGTTTGGGCACTGTATCTGCACATTAACACTGAACAAGGATTTGTGGTTTTCGCTTTCTGTTTGTCTCTTTGTGTAGATGGTTTTGAACCTACAGCCATGTTCCCAAAAGTGCCGTCAGGTGAGTATGTGGAGGGGACAGAATGGGATGCTTTTATGATGACTTCTGAGGGTGAATTTTGGCATGGAGAAACATCCCACAATGGTTTGCCTGTCCCTTCCAGAGGCTGTTATCCATGACTGTAAAGATATCCAGCTGCTCCAGTCCTGGGAGGAAATAAATGACTTGGCTACAACTAGCACCTCTGAGCTGTCTAGCCCAGGGAGTGAATCAGCCCCTGCTATGTTGGAAGATGTTCTCCTGGAGAAGTTGGATGATTTTGATGATCCCAAGTTCTTTATTGACCTGAATGCTGGACACATGGAAGATGCTGATGTCTTTGACCCCATACTGACCTTCCTTAACCAAGACAGTTATGTGCCCAGTTTTCAAAGCCTCTATGATCTCAGTTTTTCCTTTCTCAACTCCACTTTTTATGGTTTCTCTGATGAGGATGAACTGGTCTTGTACCTTGAGACATCCAGAAACTGGGCCAAGAGGACTCATTCAGTTTGGGCTCATGTCAGGCTCTGTTTCCTCTTGGGTAAGCTCTGCATTAAAAAGGTCAAGTTCTCCCAGGCTCGAGTCTACTTTGAGGAAGCCGTGAGCATCCTGGACAGGGGTTTTTGGGATCTGCCCCTGTTGGCTGCATTGCATGTGAACCTTGCCTCCATCTACTTGAAACAGAACATGAAGCACAAGTTCTCCTCCCTGCTGGGAAGAACAGTGGCCTTGCTTGTCTGCTTGCCTGGCCGTTCTTTCAGTTCTGAGAATGAGCTGGAAGTCATGATGTACGTCCTGAGGGAAGCCATTGCTGTGGGTAATGCTCCCTTGGAGGCACGGGTCTGCTTCCTTATTGTCAAGCTCTTCCTACAACTTGGCAAAAATGATGAAGTGCTGCCCTTTACCGAGCATCTTCAATGTCTCACCACCACTTTACTCAGCCCAGACACTAGTTCCATGCCACTGGATGCCACCCCCATCTTGAGCTACCTGTATGACAAGAAGTACTTGCCAAATATCGCTCTGGCCTCTGCCAGGTTGTTTGTTCCCAGTGGTGTCAAGGGGGCACTGACACCCATTTGGAGAGCTGGCTTCATCCTCCAAAATACTTCCAAACTCCTGGGAAGCCAACTGGAGAGGAGCAGCATCCCAGCACTGACTTGTTTCTATCTCAAGCAAGCACTGCATTTCTCCTGTGAGAGCAGATCTGTGCCCATCCAGAGGACGCTGTGTGCCATCTTGTCCAGGATGTACCTCCAGCATGGTGTGTTGGATGGGGCGGTTCGTTATGCAGCCACGGCTGTAACCCTCAGCAGACTGATGGGCGAGGAGGAGGCTTTCGAGTCTTCCCTCTCTTTGGGGTGGATGTATCTCCTGCACAGCCGGCCGGGCCCAGCTGCAGACATCCTGTGGCAGCTCTTGCGCTCTCTGCACGGGACGGACAGCGTGACTCAGGGTGGAGCTGTGCACAATCTCCTGGCCATTGCCCTCAAGGGAGAAGGGCAGGTGCAAAAGGCTGCAGAGAACTACCTCCGGGCGCTGCACAAAGCCAAGGAGACCGGGAACAAGAGGAACCAGGCCATTGCCCTGGCTAACCTGGGGCAGCTGAGCCTCTCGCGCGGGGCGAGCCAGCTCTCCGAGCTCTACCTGCTCCAGTCGGCTCAGCTCTACGCTGAGCTCCAGGGCAGCGAAGACCTGGAGATGGAGTTGGTGCAGGTGCTGCTGTGGCTAGCGCAGGCCATGGTGGACAGGCAGAGGATGGAAGATGGCAAACTCTGTTACGAACTGGCGTTGGTCTTTGCCCTAAAGTGGCATAACACGAGGAGTGAGTACAGCTTTACTGGCGGGAGCCAGGGCAGCATTCACCTCTGTGCAGCACCCTGTCAGGTCCCTAACGCAGTCCCCTGACCCGTGCTTTTCCCTTCTCTGTACCATGCAGGTCAGCTTCACATCATCGAGTCTCTCTGCCATTTCTACAGCAAAGTGTCCCCCAATCTCCAGGCGTGCATCACCTACCATGAGCACTGGGTATCTCTGGCACAGCAGCTGCAGGACAGAGAGCTGGAAGGCAATGTTCAGCAGACCCTCAGCCAGCTCTACCAGGCTTTGGGTACATCTGAGTAAGTCTTGTCTGTGGCTGTTAGATGCTCTTGGAGTGGGGTCCCTGCTCACCCAAAGCAAGAGCAGTGGCTTTCCTGGGGCGTCCCTCGAGAGAGGTGGGGAAGGTGTATGGTAGCTCTAGGTGGGCTGCTGGTTAACGTGCTGCTGAGATTTGTGAGCTGTCGCTGTGCGGTGAAGAGGGGAACAGTTCAATGTCAACCAGAGCGTTGCGACAGCCCGACAAACACTGGGCTGTTAGTTGGGACAGAACTGGGATCTGGCCAAACACAGCTTTCCAGAGAGACACCCAGCCTTGATCAGAGGGGACCCAGCGACAGGGAATTCATCACTTCCTTTGGAGGCTTATTCCAGTGATTAATCACCATTCACCAGTAAAAATAGGTTCCTTATCTGTTATTTGAATAAGTCTGGCTTCAGCCTCAAGCTGCTGAGTCTGCCCTTCCTATCTCTGCTGGAATATTTTCCCCAGGGAGGTACTTAAAACCCTGTATCAGCTCACCTTTCAATCTCCTGCTTGACACATGCAGGTGACTGATTAGATTAGGTGGGAAGGGAGAGAGAGAGACTTGGACAGACCACAGACTTTCTTCAATCTTTGAAGACAACCATGTCAAATAGTGGAGAGCTAGCTCCCATGTCCCAGAAGGACAAATGGGCAGGGGCTGTCATTAACTTGGATGTTAACCTTCCCATACTGGGTCACAGTGAGTTCAGAGGGAAGGCATTTAGGAAGCAGATGCCTGTCATGTGAACGGTGCTATTTAAAATCACAAAGCACCCCATTCCCTGGACTCGAAGGACAGCTGGGGCCAGTTGCCGGCAGGCGAGACACCAAGCAAACAAACATGCCCTGGGCACTGCCCAGCGCTCCCTTCGCCACAGCAGTGTGTCCAACCTGCTGGCTTGTCCTCCTGCTTGTCCCTTTGTCCTCTAGTGGCCAGGGGCTGGAAAAGGAGCTACAAGGTCTTGCACATGTAGCCACAGATCTGCCTTTTTGGCTACACCGAGGGACAAGCAATAGGCAGAGAAGTGGTTTGCGGTGCTAGGTGCTGTCTGGAAAATGAAGGTGCAAGCACTCCCTGCCTGTGCTCTCATGTGTAGCTGGGGGTGACTTTGGGGCTTAGTGTATGGGGGTAGATAGGGTTTGCAGGTGACCTGGACAAAACCCTCTTTATCACCTGAAACAAACACAGGTGGGGAGCAGCCCCTTTGGGAGCAGGATACCTTGGGGCTCTGCTGAGCATTGGGGCCCCAGGCTGGTCTAAGGTTGCCAGATGACTTACACATGTGCACTAAAGCATGGCAACTTCCATGATTTTACCAGGACATATTGCTCAGAGCTGTTGCTGCCCATTTATCTCTAACCTTTGGCAGCTGTTGGAGGAGAAAACAGGATTGCCAGTGGGGAGGTGTTGTGGTAGCTTTGCAGCTGATTGCTGGGAGTGTTCTGTGATTTCTCTGTAATGGCTTTTTGCCTGTTACCATCACAGGGCTTTGAAACAGTCCCTGGACTGCACCAAACAGAGTCTAAGGATCTTCATTGACCTTGAGGAGACTGTGAAAGCAGCAGAGGCCTGGCTGCAGGCAGGAAGGCTCTACTATCTTATGCAGGAAGATGAGCTGGTGGAAATGTACTTTCAGGTATGGAGAAGGTGGCTGGAGCCATCCCATCCCCACCCTGTCTAGCAGCATTCCCATCACAGCTCCTTGGTATGAGCCTTTTGGGGCTGGAAGACCTGAAACAGAAAGCTCTTATGAGCAGTATAAAGTATAAACCTGCTGCTGGAAGGAGGATCTGTTGCCCTACACTCATGCACTATCTGGCACTAAATTTCCTATCTTTCCTTCTATACACTGGGTTTAGAGGATTCTTCGGTGAAAGTAAGTGAATTTATTGAGTAAGAAAGTGATGTAGGAGTGTGAAAGAAAGCTGGAAGTGCCAGGTGACTGGTTCCCATTGAAATACACACAGATAAGGGGTAAGGTGCCAGGGAAATGCTTGGAGACTTCTTGGAGTAGAAGACTACTGGCTTCTTTCCATCTCTAGAGTTATTTTATCAGCTGACCTGCAAAGTGGAAGAGCAGCTTATAAAATCTTAGGGGTCCCTCATTCAGAGAGCAGCTTCTATTAAAAGATGCGAAATCCTTTCTTATGCCCAGAGTGAGCAGAGCAGAAGGCTGGCCGGGTCTGCTGGGCTTGCACTGAGCTGGGGTATCCAGCAAAGCACCAGCCTGGACACATGTAGATGTTTTGGGTCCTCACTCTGTTACCCAGAAGCACTTCTGAACTGGTGGGGCTGGGTGACTGAGGTACACGGTGGTGGGAACAAGGAGAGGAGCCTTCCCCATCAGCCACACCAGCCTGTCCCTGAGTCAGGGTGGAAGAGGGAGCGAGTTACTGCTACGGGGTGGCTGCTCAGTGAGGTGGGTGAAATTAATAGATAGCTTTGGTGTCAGACTGTTTCCTGTTGTTCACAAGGGAGATCTGAGGCCCGTAAAAAAGAGCCATCATCACCTGCCTGCCTCATGGTTTCAGCAGGGAGGCAGAGACTAAAGGAGGGGTGACTTCCCATTAAGAAGGGCCAGTCGACACCAGATCTCAGCAGGGCATGTCCAAGTCCCTGAGGGGTCCCCTCCCAGGCAAGGTCACTGGCAATGATATATTGTCATGGTGTAAGAAGCAACATGTTCTGGCTGGAAGGTGGCACCAGGGCCAAGTGCTTAATTGGCACAAATAACTGTTCTTCACAGAAGTTAGCATACCTGCCCTCCCTCCTGCTGGCTCTGCCCTTCCTCTCTATAAGCTGTCTGTTCCCATCAGCAATCTTCATGCTGGCTCCATCACACCAGTGACAGAGGAGGGCCAGGACAACTGCTGGCTGCACTGTCCCAACTCTAAATCCTAATGCTGTTGGATATCCCAGCTGATCAGTTTGTCACACTGACCCTGCACAGGGATGGGTTAACTGGCCCCTGGCTCCATCCTTACACACATCACTTGCAAATGCAGCACAACAGTCCCATACACCTGCTGGACAACCCATCCCCATGCTGTTTGGAGCACTGGGGCTCAAATTTATGACAACTTGGTTTTATTTAATCACACCAATGTCTATATGCAAATGTCTCCTTCCAAGTCTCACTCCAGTTCCTTTTCCTTCTAGGCAGCCATTCAGACTGCTCTGAAATGGGAGAAGTTCTCCTTGGCCATGGATCTTTATGAAAAAGCAGGTGATACCTTTTTTAATGGCAGCCGAAACAGAGATCGAGCAGTGGAGTTTTATAGGGTACAGATCCCTCCGAGCATTTCTGCTTTTGTGTCTCTGTAAGGTGATGGCCGTGGGGAGTTTTGCCCCAGGGCTGGCTGTAGGACTGCATAGCTAGGCTGGAGGGATGGGGTGTGGGTAGGGATGGGGTGGTTCTGAGTGTGCCAGAGTGCAAACATCACTGCAGGGGGGCAGCCTGGGGCACAGACATATTTTGCAAAGGCTGCAGCTCACCCCAGAGATCATTTGGGAAGTGGGAACAGGGACCTTACATTACAAATCCTGGTAGTGTTAGCTGTGAGCTGGTTGCTCCTGGGGACATGCTCAGAGTCAGAATGTCAGGCACCTACGGAAGGGCAGAAGGGTGAGGCTCAGGTTTTGAGAGCCATGCTTCTGGGATATGAAACTCATTTTCAAGGGAAAGAAGGGGCTAGAACCCGAATCTGCAGCACTCAACCACCCCATCATCTGCCTGCCATGCCGAGCCCTTGGTCCATCTCCTGCTGCTCTATCACTCCTCTGTGGGCAGTGCTGTACCAATACCTCCAGGCACAGCCTGGACTCATGTTCTCTCCCCTCAGGGAGGTGCTGTGCCCTTGGCCAGGAAACTAAAGGCCACTAAGACAGAGCTACGGCTGTTCAATAAGCTGGCAGAGCTGCAGATTGGGCTGCAGGGCTACGAGAAGGCGCTGGAGTTTGCCACGCTGGCAGCCAGACTGAGCATCAGGGTTGGTGAGTGATGCACACCTTCAAGGTATGAACCTTCAAGGTATTACTGGCTCCCGCAGATGGGCTTTCCTTTCTGAGTGAGGACAGTGTGCACGTGAAAGGGGGATCTCCTGCTTTCATAAGACTGTTGATTCTTATCCTAAGTGGTAACATCTTTTTAAGGCCATTTCCCTTTTTAAGCTGCATGACAGCCATATGGGAGTGCTCTGCGTGGCGGTGGTGGGTCTGGCTGAGCAGAGGATTGCTGCCACACTGAAGCATGAGAAGTCTGATGAAGGCACAGGACTGAACAGTTCCTCTATGCCCTGGCTCTTCTGATAAACTCATCCTTTCCCATTACAGAAATAGTTTGAATGGGCAAAATGCCAGCATTCCGTCAGAGACAGAACCAGTCTTGTAATAGCCCTTTCCATCACCCATGAAATTCCTTGGTTGAATGATACACTCCCTGGGTAATCTGTCCAGCCTTGGTATCAGCAGCTCTGCCCATGAGTCTGTTTTCTCTGAACCATCTTCAAACCCAGTGTCTCCTTATGAAGATACCCGTGCCCCCAGACTGTTGAGAAAATGCATCCCCAAGCTGCTCGGCGTGCCAGGCTGGGGATGTATTGTGAGCACGCTGCAGGCTGACTGTATCAGCAACTCTTTTCCAGGAGATCAATTGCAAGAGCTGGTTGCATTCCACCGCCTGGCTACAGTCTACTATTTTCTGCATATGTATGAGATGGCAGAAGATTGCTACCTGAAGACGCTTGCCTTGCGTCCCCCCTTGCTGCAGTGTTCTGGAGAGGCCCTGTACTACTGCAAGGTGTATTGCCACCTTGGCAACCTGACCCTGCACAAACTGAAGGTAGGAAACCTTTTCTTGAGTCTTTGTTGAACACTCTGGTCTTGACAGAGAACTGGAGGTGGAGCATCACATCTGCTGGCAGAGCAGCCACACGTGTAGATGGCTGCACCCTGTGACTCTCCATCCTATCTGCAGTTTTAGAATAAATGCAGACAGTGCTGGCACGACCAGGTTTTGAAGTGGGAAAGGCAATGTGGAAAGAAGTGCTGGTGCTTAGCTGCAACTATATAGAGCCCATTTCATTGAAGTCTCTGCTCCAGCTCCTTTATACCCTGTGACCTTCAGTTAAACCACTTCCTAATGTCTGCCCTGTCCTTTACGGTTAGGATGAACAGGATGCAGCAGCCTACTTCCTCCTGGCCCTCGCCGCAGCAACCGAGCTGGGAGACGAGGAGCTGCAAGGCCTCATTCGCGCCAAGCTGGGTGACATCCCCAGTGCCCCACGGGGCCCCGAGGACACTCCGGGCTGTGCCACATACCGGCCCAGGTGGCTGAGTGAAGGTGGCCACGTCGTCTGACCGACCCACCACCCTGGCGACTCCAGTACGAGACGTCAAGCAGCATCATGCCACGGCACTGGCATGGGTCCATGTGCTCTCCAGAACAACGATCCCAGGAGAGGTCCTGTGCCACATCCTAAGTTGCTGGCAGCATTTGGCCTTCTTGTACCCAACAGGCAAGGGACCGAGCACTTGGGACCCTGCCCTCATTTTTTGGGAGGAGGGCTGTGCACTGCAGCCGAGGCAGCATATGAAGGCTGGGCATCTGGGCAGGATGAGGCCCCAGCAGTGGTGCTGGAGTGTGCGGTACAGCGGGGCTGAGCAACAGATGGCATTTCAGGAGAGCGGCTGCCCTGCCTGGGACAGGGACAGGGGAGGGCTGCCACGTGCCTGCCTGTCCCCCCCCAGCTGCCCCACACACGTTGGTTCCCATGGGGCAGCTCAGCCCTGCCCAAAAGTGCTTTAACTTGAATAGCAACTCCTTTATTTATTTTTATCTGGTTTCTGTCCTGTCTGTTCTGCAGATGCCTGTGACCTAAACCTCTGCAGAGCCTGGGGCCTCTTTGGTACAAGGCACAACCAAAGCTTTGGGCAGTGAGAGGCAGAATTAGGGAAAGGAGGAGAAATGAAAAGGGCTGGTCAAGCCTCACCTGAGGACGAGCCCCATATGCAGGTGGGCAGCAGCTGGGCGGGGAGGCAGAGCCCACCCTCACCCCAGCTCTGCCGGTCAGCCCCAGCTCTGGCACTGGAGCAGCTGGGGTGGCCTCTTCTGCCCCACAGCCCATGTGCACTTTCAGCATCTAAAGCATGAGCACGCTACGGGTCCTGCATGGGCAAAGAGCCATCAGTCCTGACCTGACCCAGGTTTTGCAGGCAGGCACCCTCCCCAGACTCTCTTCTCCAGGCTGCAGAGCCCCACGGGATGCAGGAGCGCCGGGAAGTGGATGGTGAGGCTGGGCACACTTGGCCTGTGCTGTGGCACACAGCAGGTCCCCTGGGCAGGGGTGCTGATGGGAAGCAGAGGGACTTTTGGTGGGGAGAGGCAGCTGCAGTACCTTTGCATGGACCATTGGCAGTCCAAGGAGAAGTCAGCTGCCCAGCAGACAGCAAGCTGCCTTCAAGTGTCCTGAGCTACGTGGCTGGAGGAGAAGCAAAATCTCCTCTGTGGAGTGATCAGGGGGTGTGGGAGGCACTGAGGATGCTTCTCCTGAGAGCTGCTGCCCAGCACCAGTTGCAGCACACAGCTCTCCTCCCCAACCTGTCTCACCACCAGGGAGCAATAAATGCCCACGTTTGCAGCCTCACGCAAGCAAGTAATAACACCAACCTCAGTTTTCAGTCTGGACTGGTGCAGAGTGAAGAATGAACGATTTTTCCAGCTCATCTCTTTGCGCTGACAACCAGTGGCCAGACACCCAGCTGGGGCTTCACATGAGACCCTGTTCCAAAGTCCAAAGTCCTTCCACCTCCCTGATGGGGCTTCACTGCTTGGAAATGCTAAATGCAGAACATTTATTTCCTTGCTGCTCTTTGCAAATGCTGAGTTCATTTTCCCCTTCTAATCCATGTGAGGTATCCATCATCGGGGCAATGAATACTTTATTGTTTGTTTACTGAGCATTCCTGCAATACCATTAGAGGAGCCTCAGCCCTGAGCTCAGAGAAGGTAAATCTTCATCTCGTTTGAAATACAGCAAGCTCAGGGGAGAATCAGTCCCTCAAACTTTCCTGTCTCATTCCACAGGGCTGCCTGTTCTCATTTCAGGTAGCTGGTGTTCACTGTGCTAGGGCAAGATCTTTTCAGCAGTTTTTCATGTCAGTTCCCCTTTTTCTTTTCATACACGGGGAAAAGCACAGTCTCACGTCTTTGTGCCAGAAGGCAGGTCGATGACTGGACATCAGGCTGCTGAGGAGAGGGGGAAGAAGGAAGCTTTGATGGCTCAGGATGACCTCAGGGTCTGTGTGGTGCAGAGGTGCCCTGCTCTGGCACCAAGATTTGCACCCATCTCCCCTGCCACCCCCAGCACCGCGCTTAGGGGTGCTGCCCAGCCCCACAGCAGCTTGCCTGCAGCAGCTGCTGCACCCAGACTGTCTGGTCCTCAGCAGTGCCCTTTGGGTCCCTGAGGTGAGGCTCGAGGCCACCACGAGGCTGCTGCCCAGTCTGGCTTTTGTTACCAGCGGTTCTAGCAGTGGGTGCTGTGCTGCTGGCCAGGCTCTGCACCTGGGGGGCCGGGATGAAGATGGTTGTGCATCTGTCTATGGTAGAGCCCCTAGACCCACACCGGTGGCCAGTGGCTGTTGCAGTTCTTGTCAAAGTTAAGCCCAGTGGAGGATGAATCATGCAGAGAGCATCCCTGCTAAAATACCCCTTCCAGAGCCAAACTTGAGGCCGTTCTGCCTAGCAGCAGTGAGAAAAAAACGGGTTTTGTTTAAACATAGAGGGTCAGTGTCTCAGCTGGTCTAAATCAGCTAAGCTCCATGAAGTCAGAGAGATTCTGATTTGCAAGGACTGTGGATCTGTCCTGTGTTTTTTAACCAAATGTGTCCCCCTTTAAATCACAGCAAACAAATTTGTGGTGCCTGCCAGGTGAAAAAGAGACTTGCTCCTAGAGAACATCCCATAAAACATCATTTTCCCTCTCCTTTGTCTGCCCGCCCACTCCCACATGCTATGACAAAGCTGGGCTGTTTTCCTAGTGGGATGAGAGGTCAGGGTGGCCAGGGCTAATTAAGCTCCATAATAATACTTGGAAATAAAGTGAAACTTAAAGCAGTAAGTCATGCATACCAACTCCTGGGCCTGTGCGCAAGGGAGGGTGAGGATACTACGTCCCTCCAGCCACCAGCACGGTTTTGTGGGCAGAGAAACAGATGCTTTGGGGACTTTGTGCCAGAGGAGGTCACTAGGTGATGGCTCAGATTCTGGACCATCCAAGCTGGGGATTATCATCCTCCACCCTTTCCTGGGTGGGGGGATATTGTCCATCATTCCCAGGGCACGGTGACTGGGTGTTGTCTGTCTTTCAGATACAGCAGGGACATCTATGTGTGTATGCAGGGAGGGAGCTCAGGCACCACGTAAGGGGTATGCACCCAAGATGCTGCAGGGTGCAGAGCCTGGCCAGGGCTGTGATGTTGCTCCTAGAGTAGGTTGGAAGAGCAGGACTGTAGAAACACAGAAGGTATTTATCCTACGATGGGCATTGGCCACCAGTGTCCAGCCCTCCTTCACCAGCAATAATGCCAGCCCAAACAGATGGAGGAAGAAATAGGGGAAAGGGAAAGGATGGATCAAGTCTCCTCTTACACCAGGTGTCGTTATCTTGCTGTGGCTTGTGACTTATTTCTGAGTCGCATGTGACTCTGCTCCATGCCGAGTCCCAGGAGTTTTCCTTCCTTCAGTCCTCAGCCAGCCGAGCTGGAAATAGGACTGGTAGGGACCACGTGCAGCAGCACATGCCTTCACATGGCTGCTAAAAGCAGCACCTTCCTTTCCAGCACTTCCAAAGGGTGAAGGGTGCTGTAGGAACCTTCTTGCTTTGCTTCGGTGCTTCAGCATGATGGTGTGTCTGGACCTGGTGCCAACCCATCTTGCTCTGATCTTTCACCACTGCAACCCTCCAGGCACCAGTGCTACCAGTCCTGACACAAGCCCACCTAAGAGCCAACACTGGCACTCTGACTCCAGTTTTGTTTAATGCCTCAGTGGGCCATTTAAAGCCTGGAATAAAGAGGAACTATATTTCTTTAACATATTCTCATTCTTGGGCAGTGGAAATACCATAAGAAGAATAATTCTTGGATCATCTTAGCTCCAGTGTGAGCCTCCCAAGGCATTAGGAAAAAGAAAGCACTGATAACTGAAATAAATAAATACAGATAGACTCATAGAATCATTTAGGTTGGAAAAGAACTTTAAGATCATTGAGTCCAACTGTTAACCTAACACTGCCAAGTCTACCACTAAAAACCTGTTCCTAAGATACAGACAGAAGTCAGCTAGATTTATTTGGGTTTACACGGAAACTACTTTCAAGCAAAAATACAACACCCAATAATAACAATTATTATCGGCAGACATCTTTTGTCATTCTTTCACCGTACAGTGCTGCAAATCTTCACTGGGCCTGTGTTGGACGGAGGCTGGGCTGGACAGAGAGACCTCCCTATTCCTGTCTGTACCACACAGCTCCAACCCAGCCCTTTTCCACTCCATGCCTCAGATCCCATGGGCTAAACAAGGGATAGAAACCCTCTCCGAGTACTGTCAAATCCTGACAGTTGGGCAGGGAAAGCACATGCTGCTGGGGAGGGAAATCTAAATTTTTGTTGTGTGCTGTGTGGATCCAGGATGTGGGTGGGAGCCACCTCTCCCATCTCAAGGACCCACACCTGGGCCACCCCTTAACCAGAGTCATCAACCACAGCTGATGGTGCTACACCACCCCTGCTAGAAGCACCCTGTGCCTGGGCAGAGCTTTTCTGGAGCTCAGTGCCCAGATTTTGTAGCTGGTGTCCACAGGTGGCACGTTATTTATCCATCTCCATCAGCCTTGGAGTTTGGTGGAGGCTGGTCTCCAGCACAGTCTGCCTCTGCTGGAGGATCATCAGTGATGTGGAGGAGCAGAGAGTCTGAGGCAGAGGTAAACCTGAGATCATCTTATCTCAGAGGTGGCTGGTTTTCTCCAGCCAGCATCTTCTTGTATTACTTGGAACAGTAATGAGAAGTTGGTAAACAACAGCTGTTCTGCTAAGCAGAGGTAGGTGAAGTATGTAAACTGGGCAATTTAGATTAAAAATCATTTATTTTCACAGCAGCCTGGGTTTTTGTTCAGTGGTAATTGGGATCATAAATATGTATGCCAGAAGGCATATCTGAGGTTGATGCCGGGAGGCTGAGCAACAGCCAAGAGTCACTAACTGTAACTGCATGTGCTTAAATAAACTTTCCCTTCCCCGCACTATGGCAAGGCGGGCAGCAGCACAGTGCAGCCTGTCTGTGTGTGCTGAGATGGGGGGGCTGCGTATGCACTGATGGTCTCCCTGGGGGAGGAGAGAAGCAAAACCAGAAAGAGGAAAAGGACAGGGAAGCTGGGAATTGGCCAATGACTGTGGACAGGGAACAGTGAAGCCAGAGGTGAAAAAAAATTCCGAACTGAGATGAAATACTTCTCGTACTGAGATGGCACCAGGCATGGGTCAGCCCTGGAGCTGTCATCTCTGCTGCTGCTGGCCAGAGGGCACCCAGATGTCTCCAGGACTTATCAGTGCTGGTCTCCAGGGCCACTTTCTGCTCTCATGGGCACTTTGCATTCAGCAGAACCAATGGGAGACCAGTGCTGGATGCTGAACTGGGCTTTGCCAGGGAAAACATCTCCCTGGGACTGGAGAGGGCAGAGAAAACACTCCTTCCAAGCATAGAGATGATAGGAACCATGTGTGCTAGTGACAGGGACACGTGGAAGGGCAGCTGGCTCTCCTGGGCACCAGTTGATGGGCAAAGAGCTCTGAGTTCGTTCTTGTCTTGTCCCAGCTCTGCACACAAATGCAATGGTGCCAGGGTGCACTAAGGGTCCCAGCCAAGCTGCTTAGAGCTCCCCAGCTCCTGTGTGCTCTCCCAATGGCTACAGCTCCTCTGAGAAGGAAGCACAGGCAGGAAACCTGGCAGCAAGAGGCCCCTCGCCACAGCACTGGAGACAAGTGTAGGAAACAGCACAAGTGCCAACAATTCCTGTCACAGTAGAGGAGAGGGGAAAAAATATAAAAAAGACTGTATTTGGCTGCCCTGAAGGCTGTTGGGATACAGTCCAGGAATTGGGATGAATACAAAGAAATGAGTCCCTGAGCAACAGACGGTTTTTGAGAAAGGAAGAATAAATTCTTACATAACCAAATTCCCTTTGTGCACTGGTTATAGGGTGGTTGTTTTATTTTTCTATTTTGTTTTGGTTTTTTTGTTTGTTTTGCACCTGCTGACAGTGGCACTGTGGCCACACAAGAATGCATCAATGTGTAAGGAGCAACGGCTGCAGCATTTATGTCCTGACTCTAAGGCTTAATTCTGTCTGGGACACCTTCAGTTCCTTGCAGCTGGTTTTTGAATTGCAGCATTACTTTTTTCTTACTGCTGTCCAAGATTTAAGCCATGCTTGATCCCAAAGCATTAGTACAATATTAATGAGGTTTAAAAAACCCTTTAAAAACCCCTTGCTCTAGTGCTTTGGGAAGGATTTGCAGAAGTTCCTATATGACTCTGGTGCATCAGGCTTATGCTTTTCTGCAGCTTTTCCCAGACTTCCCTAGCTCATTATCTGGGCTTTCCTGTCTTGTCCATCTCATGATCTGACAGAAGAATAAACTGTGTGCTCTGGTGATGGCTACACCTGGGGCAGCCCACGGTGAAGCAGCGCTGAGGCGCGAGGCACCTGCAGGGATGCTATGTACCCCTGGGCAGCCAGAATCCGTAGGAGTGTCAGTGCCTTCCGAGTCATCTCCCTGTCCTCTCTGTCTGCATCATCTTATATCTATTTTGGAAGCTATTTGATACTTCAGAAGCTCCAGTCTTTGGGGATGTCAGGGCATGCTTTGTACCTGGTGGCTTCTACAGAGCAGGGTTAGTGAGTCTGTTCTAGCTTCTGTCAGTACTTTCCTTCTGTGTCTCACTAAACCCCTCCTGAAAGTACCTTCATCTGGAATCTCCTTGACACTGTCTTGATAAACTAGTCGACATAAGCACTAGCAGCATGGTTTGTTCTCAGATTCTTTTCAGACCTGCCTTGAAAACTGGCACATAACTACTTTTTTGATGCCATGTTCTTATCTGCTCTCAGTATTCACATTCAGATTGGAAATCTCTTGATCTGTTGTATTTTCATGTGGAAGGATACAATGGATAAAGGGACACTTAAGCAAGAGCGTCTATTAGGTACTTTACAAATCCTAATAGTCTCTGAAATGACATCTGGTGATTTGCATTTGCTTTTTGGCAGGAAGGCTATTGCCTTTGGAAGTCAGCAGGTGTCCCTTCAGTGGTGCCACAGTTGCTGAAAACTTCATCTTGCTTTTGTTCAAGCTGAAACCTGTTCCTGCCTCTCCTTGAAGACCCAATCCAGGGCTGGGATGGATGGTGTTTCAGTTCCTTACCCCAGAACGTCATCTGCTGTGATATTGTCCTGCCAGCCTGGCATGCTGCTGGCAGTCCTGTTCTTCCACTTGCATTTTAACTCAGGTTTCTGACTGTCTACATCTGGTTGATGGAGAAGGAAAATATCATGTGAAGGACAGAATGGGTGATGGGCTCAGCCTTGTTCATGGAGAGGCTTCTCTTCAAATTTACTTCATGCCCTCCCCTATCTTACTTCCAGTGCAGTACATCTTCCCTGGGCAGATGCTGTACTCTATGGATCACTCCTGTCTTTTTATTGGCACCATTTCTGTAAGACTCCTCCTCCTCAAAATCCATCTTGGGTACTTTACTCTGTGTTAGTAGAGGCATGTCACGGCATGTCACTTGCATTTGGGACTGCCTTGTGTTTTTCTTCTGCCTGCAATACACAAGGACTTTCTCTGAGGTTTGGTGGCACCAGGTTTGTGAGCTGGTGGTATCGCCTACACTAACCAAAGTCTCCAACTGCATTGGTTCCTATGGCGTTGTGGGAATTTCCACCCTGCAGCTCCTGCTGTGGTTGTGCCTGCACAGACACTTCAGTGTGGCTTGGGCTGCTTGGGCTGTGCCATCTCCACTTCCAGAGCACTGAAGAGGTTTTTATTCACTCAC